ATCCCATCAATAGCAAGGTGAACATTGTATCATTTTATTATTATGACTTTTATTATATTTTTAAAATTGAAAAACAAGACATTTTAATAATGGGGAATATAGAAGCTAATAATTAATAAAGATATTAAAATAAAATCATTACCAGTACTATCCAGGAGAGCCATTGCAGAGAATTGGGATATATCCTTAAAGAATTGTTTTATGAATGTAATATGTGGCTTTTTTGTTTTGTTTTGATATTATTGTTTCATAAAAATGAGATCACTCTATAATCTGTTCTTCCCACTCAACATTATATCATTAACATGATTATGTATTCTTCTACATTATTTTAACAGCCTCATAGTATTTCATCATATGATGTATCAACATTTATTAAGCCAATCCCTCAGTACAGCAATTAGATCACATCCAGTTATTATAAACGAGCTACAGTGAACATCTTTGTGCCTGGATATTGCCAAACAATTTTCTTAAACTATGTCTAAAATGTCAAAGCCATTAGTTCTCAAACTGCAGTATGCATTAGAATGATACTGGTGACTTATTCAGACTCCTAAGCCCTAATCATAGAGATTGTGATTAGGAACATTTGGAATAAGACCTGGAAGTCTGAATTTTAGCAAGCACCATCTAAGATTCTAATGCAAAGGGTTTGAGCATCGTGTTTTGAGAAATAATGACTTGGAACATTAGAAATACTATCTTTTCTATCATCTCCTTTCCATAATGCCATTTTCTAGCAATAACATAAGATACCTATTGCTCTTGCAATTCATTTTACATCTCTCTCCAAAATAATGGCATTTAACCTCCTATCTTGTACCTGATAAGGTTGTTCTCTTTATTTCTGAGCCATAACTGATACACATAGATCTACGGTGTGAAAAAAACACTTATAGTATTTTTGAATGGAAAATGTTAGAATAAATGCTTTGTCATTTATATTATAAAGATAAAAGCATTTATAGAAAATTTGGGCTTAAACTGACAACATGAGCACAAACTTCATTTTTAGTAGAGATAATTCTCTCAAAAAAGTTACCTCTTGAGGCAGTTTTATCTAAAAGAGAATGTCACAAACATTAAGTCATTCAACAAATAACCTCGGTTATATAAAAGTATTTTTGCAATTGCATTATAACACCCAGAGTAGGCAGCTAAATGCTTGTAAAAAGACGTTAACTTTGGCCAGCTATATTTAGTGCTACTGAAGCTTTGCTAGACTCATCCTTTGTTCTTCTTTTCTATGTTCATCCGGAAGAAGAGCATTTACACATATATTAGAGTTCTCTAGAGGGACAGAACTAATGGGATAGATGTATATATGAAAGGGATTTTATTATGGAGTATTGACTCGCATGATCACAAGGTGATATCCCACAATAGGCAGTCTTTAGGCTGGGAAGCAAGGAAGCCAATTCAAGTCCCAGAACCTCAAAAGGAGGGAAGCCGATTTCAGTCTGTGGCCCAAGGCCCGAGAGCAAACCACTGGTATAGGTACAGGAGTCCAACTATTTTAGGACAGGAGTCTGATGTTCGAGAGCAGGAAGCATCCAGCACAGGAAAAAGATGGAGGCCAGAAAACTCAGGCATTCTAATCCTTCCACGTTTCTCTGCCTGCTTTTATCCTAGCCGTGTTTGCAGCTGGTTAGATGGCACCCACCCACATGGAGAGTGGGTCTGCCTCTCCCAGTCTACTGACTGAAATGTTAATCCCCTCTGGTAACTCCTTCCCAAACAAACACACACAAGAATAATACTTTGTATCCTTCAATCCATCACAACACACATAAATCATATCATTAACTTAATCATGACCTGTTTGCAATCCAGGAGTGAAGTTCTGTTCTTAGAGGAACTTCCTAAGCACGCAGAGGCTCACTTTCCCAATCTAAAAGCTAAGACTGTTCCATGTGCATATGCTTTCTATTTTTTTTCTATATTTGTTATCTCACAGAAACATTGATTTGCCATTGGTTGTGGCAAAATCAGTATTCTATAACTGGAAGTGGTGTTAGGTTTCTTTTGTGTAACTTCTTGATTTTATGCCTAAGGAGACTAAAGACCAGCAAGGTTAAGACCAGCAGATCTGGAACAGGTTATTATAGCAGTTTGTATCTTATGTTACTGCTAGAAAATGGCATTATTGCAAGGAGATGATGGAAAAGATAGTATTTCTAATGTCTCCAAGCCATTATTTCTAAAAAATGTACTGTTTAAACCCTCCGCATTGGGATTATAGGTGGTGAATGCTAAAATTCAGACTCTCAGGTCCTATTCCAGATCTGCTTGTCTTAACCTTGCTGATCTTTAGTCTCTGCAGACAAAAAACAAGACATTATACAAAATACACCCTAAGACCCCTTCCAGTTATGAAGTACTCTGATTTTGTTACAACCAATGGGACTTCGTAAGACCACCTGAGTGATTAGGGGTAGAACAGGAGATAAAATTTTCATTTTCTCATTTAATGACAGATTGTCATTCATTTCTAATGTTTATGTAGGGCTGCTCTCATCTCAGTTTTGTTTAATTTTTCAAATGAAAATGTGAAGCTTTTTGAGTTATAGTCAGTTAGTGTGTGTTCTGTTCTTTTCTAGTAATACTCACTCTACCAGGGACTATACTTGTTAAGGTAGTACAGCGTAGTGGCTTTTAGCTCCAGTTTTAACTAGAAGAGATTTGGGTTTGGATCCTGACATGTAGGATGATCAGTCATCCTGGTTGCCTTGGGACTGTGGGGTTTCCCTGGACTTAGGACTCTGAGTGCTAAAATCTAAAGGTCCCAGGCAAAATAAGTTGATTAATCACCCTATAAGCCATGTGTCTGTGTGTCCAACTCCTACTATTTGATAGTAGGTTTTTGTTTTTGTTTTTTAATGTGTAAAATGGGAAAAGAAATAGAAACTAACTCATGGAATTTGGTAAAAATTAAATGAGACAGTATGTATAAAACACAGTACTGCTTAATAAGGACTCAATAAATATTAGTCATTATTATTGATGTTGTTTTATAAAGCAAGTAGATTCCTCAAAGCACAGATTCTCAGAATTTAGGATTTGAAATAAATGAACTTTCTTTTTAGTTTTGGCCTCTTTTTTTTTTTTTTAACCTTCTCAGTCCCCTTCTGTTGTCTTGTTTGTCTCTCCAACCAGACAGTACAATCCAAAGTTGGATAGAGTCCACCACTGCACATCTTTCCACCTTTTTCAAGATATAAATCAGGAATACAAAAATTTTCTATTTGGGAACCAATATGAAGAATGAACATCAAAGACAGCATAGTGCTGCAGGAAGAAAAAGGGAATTAGCCTGGATTATAATGGCGCCATTTTGTTGAGTACATACTCTTTGACAGTTATGGGTGCTTCAAATACTTTATATATTTGGTCCAGACAATGAACCTGAGAGGTAAATATTATTATCTCAGTCTTCAGGTGGAGAAATAACCTCAATGAGCCCAAGTTACTTGCCCAAAGATAGTTGTATACTAAGGAGTGTAAGAAACAAGGTCTGGATGTTCCAAACTTGATGAATTTCTAACTTGTAGCCAACAGGTTAATTTAGGGAAATATAACCTTCCCTCTCTGGGCTTGCTTCTTCACCTGTAGCACTCAGAAGGGAAGGAAATTACCATATATGAGTGCTAATCACAGTGCAGGTAATGAACTATGTACATGATATGCATAGTCTCATTTAATTTTTATATGTAAATATTAGTCCCATTTTCATAATAAAGAAACAGAAGCCTTAGAGAGACTAAGCAACACTCTAGCAATACAAATAGTAAAGTGGAAGTGCAAGGATTCAAAAACCCAGCACTCTATAGAAGCATGTTGTAACATTTGGTGATTCTACAATTCTCAATATGTGGATATAATAAATATTGGTAGAGTAGACTTTCCAGTCATTTGGAAATAGTTATTGCTTGTGTGATAATATATTTTTCTCAGCAAGAATCAAAATATTAAATTTTCTACTTTATTCTAGATCTGCATTTACCTTTGCATGTGAATAACATGTATCAAATTTGCAAAATTCAGCTGTGATTTAAATACAGTTCTACTGGGTCCTCAAGTTTCTTTTCAAATCTTCTTTTTCTTACTACCCTCTCAGTCTTAGAAAAATTGGCAAGAGTATATCTGAGTAAGATGTGACATATGAAAACATATGTTTCAAAGATGGGCCTTAAATATGCAGAAAAAATAGGACTTTTTTTCTCCCTGTCTCTTCATGGGCAGGCATATGAGAAAAATATATATAAATATACAGTCATGTGCTATATAACTTTTTAGTCAATTATGGACCACAAAAATCATGGTGGTCATAAGATTGTAACACTGTATTTTTACTGTATCTTTCTTATGTGTAGAAATGCTTAGACATGCAAATATTTTCCCTTGTGTTACAGTTGCCTCCAATATTTAGTACAGTAACAATGCACCATTCAGGTTTGTGTAAATACACTGTTATGTTCGCACAATGAGGAAATTGCCTAATGATGCATTTCTCAGAATGGATCATTATCAAATGATGTATAACTCTGTGTGTGTGTGTGTATATATAACTGTGTGTGTGTGTGTGTACACACACACACACACACACACATATATACACAGGCACATGCATGTATCAAGATATGTATTTATCGATGTTTGCAATTCATTTCATAGAAGTTATAAAAACATTTTGATTTATCCTTGATTTTATAGAATTCACGCAAAAGGTAATAAATTCTAAGATTCTGAAGATGTTAACTTATAACCAAGCCACACCTAGTAAACAAATTTGCTATTTTAAAAATAAATACAGATTTTAGTTTGGAGTTCTAAACTTTTAATCAAACATTGTTTAGTTAATGTCACTGTTTTCTATACAGCATTTTTCATGTAAAGTTTTACTTAATTTCTTTCCCAGGATAGTATTAAGCCATTAGGTAATAATAAACACTTTGACTTTTGTTGATTATATATGCTTTCTTGATCTATTACCTCAGGCCTCTGAGGAAACATTACATTCCAGTAATGAAGAGGAAGACCCTTTCCGTGGAATGGAACCCTATCTTGTCCGGAGACTTTCATGCCGAAATATTCAGCTTCCCCCTCTTGCCTTCAGACAGTTGGAACAAGCTGACTTGAAAAGTGAATCAGAGAACATTCAAAGACCAACCAGCCTCCCCCTGAAGATTCTGCCGCTGATTGCTATCACTTCTGCAGACTCCAGTGGGTGAGTACGCTCAAATGTCATTTCCCCATTTTATATTTTAGATGGTGACTGTTATCTGTGGTCTTTTGGGTTTTTGTGGCTCATTGCTTGATTTGAGTGGGAGAACAATGGGGTTTCTAGAGTCAAAAACATAAGGGTGATTTTTCTCAGGTGACATTGGTATCCCTGCAGGAGAAGACATTTTAGCGAAATTGTTTTACAAGGAGGAGCTGAAAATGTATTGGTGAATGCTAATAAGCATTTACAAAAGGAAAGTTGTACTTGGAAAATTAATATCGGCCATATGTGATTTAATAGAAAAAAGTTTAACAAATGAGAATGAATGGACAAATTACTGTGTAGGGGTCTAGAAACAATAGGCAATGTTCATTGATGCAAAATGAATTTGGAATCAAGAATAGATTGTATTGTAATTAGAATCAAAAGAAATATGCAGTGATATTCACAAGTCTAAAAATTTTGCCTTTAACATTTTGCGGTATTGCTTACCAGAATACTATTTCAGTTCCCGGTATAAGGTGATTTTATTTGCATTCGTATTTATAGAGGAATCAGCCACAGCCACATCTCCATTGTGTAACATTTTTATTTCCTACTTTGCAGGGTATAATTTTTGTTTTTATTCTTTTTCGTGTTGTTTACCAATGGGGTTTTACACTTTAATGCAACATCACCAGGTTACAAATTGTGAATGAAGGTAAGGATATTGGGCACATTCACTATTTGTTCTTGTGACCAGCTGCATTTTTAAGAATCTTGGATAGAAAGGAAAGAGGATAAAGCCAGTGGGCCATAGATAGACTCTTGAACATTTGTTAAGACCAGAAGAACAAAACAAATACTAGTTACAAATGTGATGCTCCCACATACTCTGCCAAGTTAAAGGCATCTCTAAGGAAAAAATGCCTTTTAGATCTTGTTAAAGTTAGGAAGGTTGTGCTCAGAGGAAATTTGGCTAGTAACTCAACTCGAAGATACTGAATTTAGCTGTTTTTACTGGTTATGGGCCAGTCTGAGTGACCTGTGTTATGAAAAAGTATGAGGAAAATACCTAAATAAATAATAAGACAACAAATATTCACCTTGAAGCAATGAAAAGAGGAAATTTTGTTTTTGTTTCTGTTGTCGTCATTGAACTATGTGTTTAAAGAAGGATGTACACAGATTGATCAGACTCATACTGAAGCAGATGGGAATTTTATATGACAGCTAGACCCAAACATTTTTTGAAAAAATGCTGTTCCCCTGAAACTATTTCTCCTCTCTTTGGAATTAAAACTGTTGCTCTTCTATCTGTGTAGAAGATTCGCAGATAACAGGTGTATCCAGGGTTCCCAAGAACATCCTTAGGTTCAGTGATTTGCTAGAGCTCTAATAACTCAGCAAATAGCCATATTCATGGCTCTGATCTATTGTAGCAAAGGATTCAATGCAAAGTAAGCAAAGGGAGAAGTAGATGGGACAAAATCTGGAGGAAACCAAACATAAGCTTCCAAGTGTCCCCAAGTAAAGTAAGACAAGTTACACTTAGTTCCTGCGGTAATGAGTTGAGACAACACATGTGAAATGTGTTTACCAGGGATGCCTTCTACCAGGAATGCCTATTAAAGACTCAGTGCCTAGAGTTTTCAGTGGAGGCCAGTCACTTAGGTACCCTCTGCCAAGGATATACAAACTTCCAGATTGCCAGAAGGAAAGTGGATATTCAGCGTAAACCACATTATTGGCACAGACAGTTTAGGTAAATTGAGCCACTCTTACCATTTAAAGAATGGTGGATTACTCCTGAAATTCAGGTTCCCAGAGGCTAGGTAAAGGCCAATCTTGAAAACAAGTCTTTCTATATTTAATTGACACAGTCCTGATTAACGGTTTATTGCATACCAGTTTATCTTAGAATAGTTATCTTACTTTCTTCACATTTGTGGAAGAAGAGGTTATAATTAAAATTAAAATGTTCTAATTTAAGGCTCTGATGTATTCAGTTAGCTCTGGTATCTCAAAAACTTTGGTTGCTAATCATGATTTCTCTTTTTGAGTTGCCGTTATATCATGTGCCCTTAAAAACGTGATGCCATATACTTAATGAATCTCTGTGTACTTGGTCGCAGTGGCTCGTAACTGTAATCCCAGCACTTTGGGAGGCCAAGGAAGGGGATTGAGTGAGCTCAGGAGTTCCAGATCAACCTGGGCAACATGGCAAGACCCCATCTCTTATCAGAAATACAAAAAATAAGCTGGGTATAGTGGCCTGCTCCTGTGGTCCCAGCTACTCAGGAGGCTGATGTAGGAGAATCACTTGAACCTGGGAAGCCAGAGATTGCAGTGAGTCAAGATTCTGCCACTGCACCCCAGGCTGGGTGGCAGAAAGAGAATGTGTTGCTAAAAACAGTCTCTAAGTGCCAAGGAATTTCAGGGTTAGAATTGTCTAGGTCATAGCATTTCTGATTATTCAGATTTATTTCCATCTTCATTAAAAGTCTAAGAATCAAGTACAATTGATCCTTGAACAATACAAGTTTGAACTACATGGATTCCCTTATATGAGGATTCTTTCCAACCAAACACAAATAGAAAATATAGTATTCATGGGATGTGAAACTCATGAATACAGATAGGTTAACTTTTCATATATGTGGGTTCCCCAGGGCCAGTTGCAGGACTTGGGTATGCACATGAATTTTGGTACATGTAATCCTGAAACCAATCCTCTACATATACCAAGGAATGACTATATAAGCAATATCATCCTTACTATTTACAAACACATTCAATATTATGAAGAAAATGATGTTTCTCTTTGAGAGATGGAACAAGGATATCTTTTCAAAAGAAACAATATACAAGAATGGCCAATCAACAAGAACCAAGCTAAGTAGGTATTAAAGGTAATATTAACTTTGGAAGCCAGAACAATTTGTGAATTGAATATTGAGGAATAGAAGATTTAGGAGTATGATCTTCTGGAATGTCAAAGCTTTGGAGGAGAAATAGAAGGTAAAGTTTGGGATTATATTCTGTAGCCATTTCAGTTAACTAGGAGGCCCAGGTTCCTTCTGTCAGAAATAGCAAATGGAAAATTTAGCCTATTTTAACTGTGCTGTCTACAGCCCAGTTTCCCATTATTAAAGGTAAGTATGCCCCCAAGTCCCATTGTCAACCTACACTGAGACCAGACCTTAGCAATTTCAAATCTTTGATGATAAAGGCAACTTTTCATGCCCTCCAGATTTATTTTCCTTTCTTTCTTAATGTCACAGCCTTTTGCTCTTTCTTTTGGCATATCAGTATGCCAGATACTTGCTTTGTCAAGTGTCAAGCAGTGGGTCTAGAGACTTGTGGCCTTTAGAAAGCTACAGTGTGGCCATGACAGCTATTAGCTTCCTCATGAAGTACTTGGGTCAAGAGACTGAGTTCAAAAGGACTTTTAGTTATTCACACTTCTATATTTCTACTTCGAGTTTTTTTCTCAAGCAATGTGAGTGTGTTCAAATCCCTAGATGTTTTTACATTTCCTTTTGAGTATGCCTAAACTGTTAGGTTGTTTGTGTGTTGTGATTTAGGAAACGTTAGAAACTGTAAATTAACACAAAACAGAGTTATTGAGACCTGGGATGCCTACAACCCTGAATTCATTTGCAAGCTAGCTTTTCATACAGATTAGGCTTCCTGGTGGCTATTTACTGGCCTTCCTCAAAGTAAGAAAGACAGCTATTAATGACTTGAAATGTTATGAACTTATACCAATGAAGTAATTTGGAAAGTCACATTCTCATATTTTCCTCATAAATAATTTTCTGTTATACCAGTTTTCTCATATTGTAAGTACTTAACATATAACATCAAAAACTCCTACACTGGGAAAATATTAGAACAAATAATATTTGTTGTTGTTAATGCCTGTTTCCTTACTGGAATTGGCTTCAGAGATCCTCTTCAAATAACTCTTGGGGTGGATATGGATGTTCTAGCAGATTTGGGAGTCAACCAAAAATTGGCTTCTGTTCCAGAAAGTTACGGTTATTATGGACTTGTGACATTTGTGTTAAGAAGTGAGTATCTGGCATCTGCCTGCAGACATGTCTTGCTGTTAAATTATGTTTGGAATGAAAATGGAGGTCCTCCCTACATCTGCACAACCCTATACTCCCTTCACAACCTTGCTGACTCCTGAGTATTTTCCTGTTCAGAATCCTTAGGAGGAAATAGGATCTCCTTTCAGTCTTATCTTGGGCACTGGCTTACATTCCCCCTGCAGTCCATGTGTCCCTAGACAATCTAAGGAGGGCCTAGCTTGCCACACTCGTGGACATCATTCCCAGAACACAGGTGGGAAGTTATGAGAACAAAGAAAGGGTTGGGGAGGTAGCAATAAAACTCTCTACTCATGTTTCATTGCTGCATCTGCTCTATTAAAATGAGAGCCAAGAAGTGACTTGTCCCCTTGTGACATGATGACATACCTCTGGATAGATGTATATTCAGGAATGTGGGTGGGTAGAGAACATTACAAACACTTTCTCATCCCTAGTATCCTATTACCTGCCTGAAGAAATACACTGTGTACCATCATATCACTATGTCCTATAAAAAAGGAAAATGAAAAAAATGTTAAAGAAGACATGGTCACTTTTGGGGATAAATTTAACTACCCAACAGAGAGAGAAGAATTATATTATTCATATAAGAGTTCCTTTTTCAAGGATCTTCCAGAAATATTTCCTTGATTTGTGGCCATTCATAGAGGGACTGGTCCCAGATGCCAGTTAGACATTGAATTCTTTGACTAACCATTCTTCATCTTGTGTTCTTGAGTACAAACAGTACATTAGAGTGAACATTAAAAAAAGATTATTTTCAGCAATTTGTTACTGAATCAAAATCCAAACAGAAAGTAAAAGGAAGAAAAACAGAAGTCTAGATGAAGCAGACACATCTGATTTTTCAAATTTGGTCTTTTAAACTTAAGAAGGTATTAATAATAGGCATTTTGTATTTTA